AAATCAGGCCAAGCGTCTTAATACATATGCAAAAAAATTCATTATTGGCCCACCGTTGATTAGAAGATTTAGCTTGTATGAATCGCTATTGGTTTGATACGAATAATGACAATCGTTTCAGTATGTTAAGGATACAGATGTATCCACAATTCATTTAGAGTTACTTAATAGTCTATTTCTTATACCATATCTCTATCCCGTGAAATTCTCGAGCCAAAAGATGGATGCATATGCTGTGTTTCATTTTGCTAAATGATATCAATTAAATGGTGTATCAATTCCATAAATTGCATATAGCAATAAATAAATCAGCAAAATTCTTTCTAATATTTTAGATAGAAGAAACATTTCTTCTATCTAAAATATTAGAAAGAATTTTGCTGATTTATTTATTGCTATATGCAATTTATGGAATTGATACACCATTTAATTGATATCATTTAGCAAAATGAAACACAGCATATGCATCCATCTTTTGGCTCGAGAATTTCACGGGATAGAGATATGGTATAAGAAATAGACTATTAAGTAACTCTAAATGAATTGTGGATACATCTGTATCCTTAACATACTGAAACGATTGTCATTATTCGTATCAAACCAATAGCGATTCATACAAGCTAAATCTTCTAATCAATGGTGGGCCAATAATGAATTTTTTTGCATATGTATTAAGACGCTTGGCCTGATTTCGAAATTGTCCAGAGTTTTATATGTTGTTTTCATTGCAAAATGATGGGTCTCCTTCCAGAACTTTCCAATTACGAGTACGAGAATTGAAAGACATGAAAATTCTCAATTCTCTACGGCGTCTAGTAGATAGAAACAAGAAAATCAGAAGAATCTTTCTCTCTATTCACTATCATCCCGCGTCTTCGACTTCTATTAGTTTCTTTTCTTCTTTAATGCAATAGCTATAGTTTGATATAAGAATCCATTTCTCAAAGTAATGGAAACCATTCTCTTATAGGAAATGGTTCGAAAATCGCTATTCCACCTTTTAGGTATCGTGAAAAGTGATACCTGTGAAGATCGTGCATTTCAGTCAAATTCAGATCCGTTTTTCGAGTCCATGATATAATATAACCAAATTGGATAGATCTTCCACCTGTTTAGCTAAGAAAGAATAGATACAGAGGTGGATAATAGATCGATATGAAGATCATGAGCTGCCCCATAATGAAATCGCCAGTAGTCGCGAATATCTCCTTCTTCCCTAATCCAAGATTGGAGAAAGAAGATCTAAGAGGGACATATGGAGAATGTAGTCAGAAATCCATAATAGAGTCCGACCACAACGACCGAATTAATTATCCTCATCGAGAAACTTAGACTACTAAATAGAAAAGATTTGAAAATCATGGCATGGGTCTCCTTTTTTTCTTTCTTTAGAGTTTTCTATATGCACAATTTCTCGATGTTTCGATGAGAATTTCTTGACTTTCCATATATAGAAAGAGATAGACTATAAATGACATCTCTTATGTCAATAAGACCAAAGGGATGGATATTAAATGATAGGAAGTGCTAGGAAGTGAAATAGAATGAAATAGAGCCACTTTGGGCTTCCCTATGAAATGAGGCATGGAACGGAGCCACTACGAAGAAATTATGGGAGTTACGAAAGAAGCTTCGGACTCATATTGTTCATGGGTTGAGAGCGGGAGTTGAACTCTAGGAGGTCGAATCCCCCCTTGTTCCTCAGTAGCTCAGTGGTAGAGCGGTCGGCTGTTAACTGACTGGTCGTAGGTTCGAATCCTACTTAGGGAGATTTTATTCATTCTTAATTGTAAGAATTTTAATGTAGTTTATTGAACTATGATTTATTTTGATTTGTTTTCAGCTGTTCAACTCGGACAATTTGTATCGTATGATCATGCATGGATTTGATAATCAAAATTTGAGGTTCATTGATGTGGGACGCAACACATAAGGGGTCGGCGGGTGCTATCCGTGGACGCGCCCGCGGACGTACGGGAGGCTGGATTTGTCGAGGCCGGATTTGCCAAGTCCGGCTGTAGATTCTCTTACGGAGGTAGTATAATAGGGGATCGCTTGGTGTAAATCAAAGACTTGGTTTTCATGACCGGAAGGAAGGGGATGACGCAGGCAGTTCGTCCCCTTGCGTCCCCACTCTCCAGTCCCCAGTTAAAAAAGAAACGGTCGAACACGAGCCAGCCTGAAAGCAACGCCCGCTCCAAATAAAAAAGGAAAAGAAAAAATAAACTGGTTTTGAACGTCTCGCGATACGCCGACATCCACGACGGCGGGGACGCGAAAAGCACGTCTCCTCTGAAGAGATCATCCGTCGCGCATGCACGGTAGGTGGGCCGGCGTCGACCTGAGCCGCCCGTGTTAAACAACAGCAACTCCCCAGGTCGGCCTTATCCTGTGACTGTGAGCTCTCGCTTTCACACCCCCTGACGGTGGGAGCGCTGACTATTCTCATCACACTTCTTCTTCCGCAACCGGTCAAAGTCCTGGATCGAGTCCGTTGTCAGCGTTCTGTCCGATAGACGGTGCGAGGTTAGCACCGTAGCACAGCTTCGTCAAATCTGTTTTAGCCACCGCTTCTCTATTTTCTTATTTGCGCCGTCACGCAATGACTTCTTTTCTGAATCGAAAAAGTAATCATATCACTGCAGCATGAGATAGGAATAGGTTTCGAGTGTCTTTTAACAGATCGATAATACTTTTTTTTTTGAAAAAAAATCAGTTCTATTGTAAAAGTTCTACAAAGCATCCCAAACATAATAAAAGTTTACATCAAGATTCCGAGACCACTGAACAACCACTACTGCCACCCGAACGAGCCGCTGACGTGTCACTATCGTTGCTCCCCTATCGGAGTCGGCTTGACCTTGTCGATGACAATTGCGGAGTCTTTGTGCAAGTGCCCCTAAGGACCAACGTCCTGAAGCCGCAGTCGTCGTCGTCGTCGAACCATTTCATAGATCTGAAACACCTGACATCAAATCTCGCCACATGACGAGAAACCCTAACCTTTTCGCCCGAAGGAGACATCAGGAATCTTTTTTTCTGAACCGGGCTAATCCCCTTTACAGCAGGAATCTACACCGGAGTTTCGTCGATTACGTCCAAACAAACGAACTCGAGGAGGATCGAAACCCAGAAGACAAACGCGAAGAAGAAACGTCGAGCGCCGCACCTACAAGGACTAAAAAAACCTAACCTAAACTATTAACGAGAGAGTAGGCACTGGGATTCCCCTCCGCGCCAGTGGCCGCCGGAGCTACATGCAGAGGGGAGGTGAATCCATTGGATCGCTGGTGAAGTTTGGACGGGAGAGTTTACCCTAACCGTCTAGGGTTATGGAGTCATGCCATTCATGATGCACTCGAATAGATCGATAATTTAATGCACTAAAAATGATCAACGCAAACATGGACAACACGAAATAGTTTGAATTGGGTTTTCTAAGGAGTTTGAACTGATTCAAAAAAATATGGATTGCACACAAAGAAGTATGCAGCTGTCTTACCTACACGTGATATTCAATGACGTAGTTGATGACCTAAACAGTTTTGGAGTACAAAATAAAAATGTCAACATCTTGCTAACAATAATATTGTTAGTGCTAAGGTCGAGAGAAGTGAAATTCTCCTACATTTTTTATTTTGTTGAAAAAGGTAAACTTATGAAAATAAACACCAAGTATGAAAATTTTAGGGTACAAAATCACTTGCAATTGATTTCGTCGTTTGGTAAATCAGTTCAAACTAAAATTTGTACTTGATTCTAACATGGAGGACAAGCCATGTGAAGAACTTATATTTGGGCTCAACATGCTTAACACATGCGCTGCTTACTAGAACACCATATCAAAGGATGAATCTACCGAATAAATGACACTTCAAATAAAATATCAAGTAATAATGTAGACTTCATACTCTTAAAAGGATTGATTATCCAAATATACTCTCAGAAAGCTCGAAATCGCCACATATTATGAGATAGATTTTGTCTAAGGCAAATTTGATTTTACTGAATAAATGATAGAGTATGCCACAAAAGACGATTCCACTGAATAAATGACACCTTGGTACATACAAATATCACGTATAGAGTACTACTCTTTCCGTCCCAAAAATAAGTATCTCAAGCTTAGTACAATTTTGTACTGAAGTTGATGCAAAATTGAGACACTTATTTTGAGGAATACGAAATAGATTTTGTCTAAGTAAGACGAATTTGGCAACGTATAACGTGTGAGAACAGCTTGAATATCCAAATAATGTAGGATTCATATTCTTAAAAGGTTTGATTATCCAAATATTCCAATAAATCTCAAAATCACCACATATTATGAAATAGATTTTGTTCAAGTAAGGCAAATTTGATTCTACTGAATAAATGACAGAGCGTGCCACAAAAGATGAGTCCACTAAATAAATGACACCTCGGTACATACAAATATCTGGGACACGTATAGAGTACTACGAAATAGGAGTAGATTTTGTCCAAGTAAGGCCAATTTGATTCTACTGAAGAAATGATAGAGTATGCCACAAAAGATGATTTCACTGAATAAATGACACCTCGGTACATATAAATATCACGTATAGAGTACTACTCTTTCCGTCCCAAAACTAAGTATCTCAAGCTTAATACAATTTTGTACTGAAATTAATACAAAATTGAGACACTTATTTTGAGGAGTACCAAATAGATTTTGCCCAAGTAAGGCGAATTTGACAACGAATAACGTGTGAGAACAGCTCGAATATCGCCGTAACCAGCCGTCGCACGTCGGCAGCGCTCATCTGCTCCAGCACTGGCTCTCCCCGTTTCCACCTCCCTTCCCACCACAAGAACGTGCGTCCAAAATACTCGTCCTACTATAAATGGCAGCCACGGGCCCAAACTACCTGAAACATCAGTGGGATCACGATAACGCAAGCCGACTACCTTAGCACACGAACGCGCGCAGCCCAAAAACTTTCTTGCGACACCGACCTCACCTAGGACTCTACGTCGCCATGGTGCCGAGGCTGGAGCGCGGCGGCTTCCAGCTCCCGAACTCCGAGCAGGAGAACTCCCTCTTCCTCCGCGCCCTCATCTCCGTCGTGTCCGGGGACACAGCGGCCCCCGCCCCGCACCAGCTGGCGCCGTCGACGCCGCCCTTTGCTCCCGCTCCGGCGACTGCGGCTGCTGCGTGCGCCAGGTGCGGCGTGGACGGGTGCCTCGGCTGCGAGTTTGTCGCTGCGGCCGCGGCGACGACCGGGTCGAGCAGCGAGGGGGAGGAGTGCTCGGCCGCGAGCTTCGTGAAGAACGGGCGCGTGGGCAAGCGGCGGGCTGGAGGCGGCGGGAGCAAGTTCAGGGGCGTGCGGCAGCGGCCGTGGGGCAAGTGGGCGGCGGAGATCCGCGACCCGCACCGCGCCGTGCGCAAGTGGCTCGGCACCTTCGACACCGCCGCGGAGGCCGCCCGCGCCTACGACGTCGCCGCGCTCGAGTTCCGCGGCCACCGCGCCAAGCTCAACTTCCCGGCGTCGTCGTCGTCGGCCTCCGCGTCCGCGTCTGCTACTGCTTCCTCCCGGGCGGCTACGCAGCCCCATCCCCAGCGGCAGCAAAGGCCAGAGAGCCCTCGCGAGAAGTGCGGGTCAAATGCGTCGTCGCCGGTGCACGTTCCGCGGCTGCCGGAGCAGGGGAGGCCGGTGGCGCGGGAGCAGGAGATCTGGGACGGGCTGCACGAGATCATGATGATGGACGACGGCAACTTCTGGTCCAACCCCAAGCCATGATCACCACCGCTCATTACCTCGTTCTCCTCATGCTCCATTGCGACTACATAATAAATCCTAGTACGAAATGAGTTCAATAAACGATATACATCCGACAGTCCCGTGCAAAATGTGCACAATGCTCACAAGATTCTTAATCTTTCACACACAGACTGTTTCACAATGTGCAGATATCGTTTTGTACTTGCTAAATTCTGGGTGCAGTACTGCAGTCCTTATCCTCGTTACTCATCGCTCGTTTCCATGAGATATTTCGCACCGCCTTTCTGACCGTTCAGCGAATCGCTCGCGTGCTGTTCCTGTTCACGATCACAACCCCAGAGCGGATAAAGATGGGATCGCCATGCATTCCGTGGCGTAGAAACGAGCGTTTGTCACGTCTTAATTAATCCACCGTCGTTTCCCACGGTTGAAACAGTTGCCAGCTCCGCTTTTGACCACATATACTTTCGACCGAATCGATCGATGGAAAATATGTATAACAAAAGAAAAGAACATGTACTTGGGCTTGCTTTGGAGGCAAAGGAAAGAACATGGTATCTGCATGGCCCTGGTGCAAATCCAACGGAAAGTAGGAGTAGTATACTCGATCTGGATCCCAGAAGCAGAAGCAGAGGACAGGCAACGCCGGCCTGTCATCCTGATTCCCTCCCCTGTAAACAAATGCCAAAAACGCGCACTCACCGTCCAAAACCTCGCAACCGGACAGCGCTGAATATTGATGTTACTTGATGTAGAGGCTAGAGAAAGGGACCTGTGCATTATTATTATTTTATCTGTACAGCTAATGAGTACACGTACGTACCCCGACGGTACGCGCTACGCGGAAACCCCATCCTGCTGCCCGCGAAGCCGACTTCATCCTTCAGCATCACATCACGGTCAGGCAGCGTGGGCAGCCGGATGTATGACTGATCTTAGATTATCGGGAGATTCTCCTCGATGAATTAGCATGGCGATTAAAATAAGCAACACGGGTTCCATTCCTTTCCTTCTCGAGAGAAGAAATCCAGGGGCCTCTCTTGGCCAGGCCAACCCATCTCTGAATCTGTAGAGTAGAATGAAGTACTCCCCACGGTCCTTTTTAATCTGCATATAAAAATTGTCTGAAGTCAATTTTCATAAAGTCTGACCATATTTATATAAAAAATATTAATATATTTTTTTTTCGAAAAGGATGTTATCTTCGGTCTCTGCATCAAAACGATGCATACAACCATCTTATTGAAAGCAAAAAAGCTCAACAAAGTCTCCGGGTCTCAAAAAGATACAAAGGCTCACAAAGAGCAATAAGAAGATGAAACAGTATAGTCACGACTGGCGGAATAAAAGTAGATAGAAAACTAAACGCCTATCCTATTACATGACCGTCATCCAAATCGGTTGAAGATAGCCCGTGCAACCGTCTCCCACCGGATAGACCCAGTAATCATACGCTCCCTGGTATCCGTCGGAGTGAGTAGCGACCACATACAGATCAGTGTAGTGGCCCGAAAAATATCATGCAAGAAATGAATGTCGGATTTCGGGTTCCGGCAGACCCTCTAGGTTCGAACACTGGGGTGCGCGCGGAGATCTCGCCCTCTACCTACCTACACCTCGCCGCCTCGCTAGGATCTAAGCTATGAAAGGAACAACACAAGAGACACAGGGTTTATACTAGTTCGGGCCATCATTGTGGTGTAATACCCTACTCTAGTTTGTGGTGTGGTGGATTACCTCTTGGGCTGATGATGAACAATACAAGGAAGAACAGTCTCGCGAGGGTCTGTTCTTGGCTGGTGTGATGAACTGCTAGGGGAGTTCAGTCGCTCTTCCTGCTGGTTTTCTGATGATGATCCTCCCTCCTACCTTGTGGGTGGCTAATCCTATTTATAGGCAAAGGCCTTGGGCCTCTTCCCAAATATTGAGCGGGAAGGGCGCCAACAATTGGCCATTTTGAAGGGGAACATCCAGTACACTTATCCTGACTAAAGTTGGTCCTCGCCTGTCAAAGGCTCTGGTGGTGACGCCGGCTTGGGCTCCACAATGACTTCCTTCCTGCCATTGCGACGGTCTTGGTCTTGTTGCACCAAAACGGATACCTTTGATTGAAGCTCTCGCCTGCGCTTGCTCCCTTTGCACCAAAGAGGAAAGGAGGACACTGCGCGGGCTGGCGCCCACCTGGCGCCCTTGGTCGTCATAGCTTGCGTCATGGACACCTCGTGAGGTACCCCGCCTTGATTTCTTCGCCTCCTCGCGAGCCAGCCTGACGAGGCCGTGCCTAAGGAAGCTCCCTGTCGTCCACCCCGCGAGGCTTAGCCCCTCGCGAGGGTCTTGAGCTCGTGCTGATGAAGATGGGCCGTGCTGGGCCACCCCTTGAGCCATGCCGCAGGCCGCAGGCAGGCAAGTCTGGGGACCCCCGTTCCCAGAACGCCGACAGTAGCCCCCGGGCCCAAGGCGCGCCCGGACTTGGCTGAGCAGAGAAGCGAAGGGGTAAGTGCGAAGCACCGCGGGCCCTAACAGCCTACGGCCTCGGGCGCCGCATGGCAGTCGATTGGACGTGGGCGGCCCTGTTCCCCCACGCCTCCTTATTTTGCGCCCAGCTAGGCGGACCCGTGGTTTTACATAGTCGTTCCTCTTTTCGCTGCTCGACCGTCCCCTGCTCTTCCTCCTCTCGAGCTCCAGTCTCTGCTTCCAATCCAATTTTGAATCCTCCCTCTTCCCGTTGCCATGGCTCCGACGAAGAAGGGAAAAGGGAAGAAACTGGTGCCTCCGCCTCGCTCGCCTTCGTCGGCGGCTCCCGCCGTCGATCGGTCGATCATACTCAACCGAGAAGGCTTGGGCAAACTCAGCTCTGCTCTGGCCACTATCTTCAATGAGTGCGGGAGGACGACGGCCTGGCCCACGTCCCACTTCTCCATCGACAAAGTAGTCACCGAGGTCCGGTACTTTGTCGACGCCCTGTGGGCGGGATTGGTTCCCCCTTTTTCGATTTCTTCAACGTTGTGCTTTCCCATTACCAGATCCATATGATGCATTTGGGTCCTGAATCCATTACTCTTCTTGCCGTCTTCACCTTTGTCTGTGAGGCAATGATGGGCATCCCCCCTTCGGTTGCCTTGCTGCGTCACTTCTTCTCTCTGCGCCTCGTCGACCCCACCCAATGCTCGGGGTGCATGAGCTTCGTTGCCGCACCAGAAACAGCGGCCTCAGGGATTGACTTCAGCCTTCCCTTGCCCGCGCCTGGGTTCCGCGAGCGGTGGCTGTACGTGGATGTAGGGGTGCCCAGCCCCCTGCTTTCGGAGTCAACGTCATCTGCTGTCCCCAATTCAGGCTGGGGGCAGGAGACACTCACGAGCCCCCGGCTCATCTTCATCCGGCGTCGCTTCGCGTTCTTGAGGGCGCTCGGCGTGACGGCGCCCAGGGTGGTGAAGGAGTTCCTGCTACGCCGCATTGCTCCTCTCCAGCGCCACTCCCACCGGATGTGGGCCTTCAGTGGGCGTGAAGATCGCATGAGGCTCCAGGAGGAGGACCTGACGCCCGAAGCGCTGAGGAAGGTGCTCTTGGTCTTGACGGGGGACCCTTCCCCCGGCAGCGTCCGGCAAGGGGGGGCTTTGTTGTACCTTTGCTCGAACAGGGGCGACTTTGTGAATCAGATGCCCGGTTTCGATGAATGGGGGCTGCGCCCCGCTGGCCTCACGGGGCGTCGCGAGAACCCAGTGGTGGTGACTGCCCTTCTAGTCACGCACGGCGGTACTTCCTCGAGTGGCGGAGCAGGGAGGCATGGGCCGCTGGAGGCTGAGGGGCCCCCCGCCGGGGTGACGACGCCAGGCGGCACTCCTGGGGGGCAGCTCCTGAGGCCCATACTGCTGCGACTGAAGGCGTTGAGCCGCTGCCCGCAGCGCCCGTGGTTGAGGCCCCTGGGGCCCCAGCTACCCTTCTTGGTGAGGCGACCGGCGGCGTGCATCAGGACAACACCCCTGACGCTGGGCACCTTGACGCTTCTTCCTCGTTGCAGGCTGACCCCTGCGCTCAACTCCTGGGCCGCTTCTGCGTGGACTTCGAGGCTCTCCGGAAGAGAAGGTAGGCCTTGGGTGACGATTACCCTTGCCGCCTGCTGAAGCGCAGGAAGTATTTCACCATTGATGAGTAAGCCTTCCCCTTTCCTAGCTCCTGATCCTCCCGTTGCTTTGGCTGATCCTTGCTCTGCAGGGCCCTTCATGCCGAGCTCACGGAGATGGCTGAGGAGCCATCCGCCCAGGCTCCACCCCCTCCATCATCTTCGAGCGCTCCGAGCTCAAGCAGAGCCCTTGCGGTGAGGCCGGTCGGAGAGGTGAGCCATCCTGTGGTGCATCGCGGCTCTGCGCGCCTCGCGACCCTCCTTCGCGAGCCTTCTCGGGGCATAGCCAGCCTGCCTTGGGCTTCGCGTCTGGTCGTGGACAGTGATTGGCTAGGATCGGCCCTGTGCTCTTCATTTGGGGATGGGCTGGCTCCAGGCCGGGCTTCTGGCGAGGCGCGCCCGGCCATCGCGAGGGCGCCAGCCCCCTGCCCAGAGGGGGAGTGCTGATTCGTGGCCCCCCGCGCTTACTTGGGGCGGATGACGACGCGGAAGACGTGCTCGAGCGCGCCCGGAGGCGTCGCGTTCTTCGCCAAGGGTTTCTCCAGAGGGCGGCTGACGCGGTGAGCCGGCTTGGTGAAGAGCTTGCTGATGAAGATGTGCACCTTGAGGCTGAGGGCCTGCGCCTGGCTGAAGAGAGGCACAAGCTGAAGGCGGCTGTTGTCCTTGCGCGCCACCAGTGTGACCTCGATAATGAGGAGGCCGAGGCGTCGCTGGCGGCCTCTCGGGAGGCCCGTTCCCGGGCCGTCGCGGAGGCCCGAGAGGCTGACCGGCGGCGTGAGGCGGCGGATGAGTGGACGCGGGAACTCCAGGCCCGGTGCCATTCCCTGGAGCAGCAGGTGGAGCTGCGTGAGATGACCCTTGCGTCGATGAAGGTGGCTTCGGTCGACCAGGCAGAGCT